AAAAATGACCTCTCAGGTCAAGAAGCATATTTTACAAAACAAGACTGCGATGAATAACACAGTAAATGGGGAAATATAATAGACAAAACTATTTATTGATACGTAAAATATAGCTATTAGAACAAATAAACTTATCACTGTGAGTCTAGAGCTGATTGTAGAGGTCTGATCCTTCGTCTTGTCAAAGAATTCTTTGGGTTCACGGAACGACTCGTTTCGAAACTGACGCTCATTGACATCTTTTAGTGTGAGTCTACCGCGAACGGCGTGTGCGTTTGTAAGATGGTTGAGCTGCCGTTGAGCGTCTCAGTATGTACTTTTTTGACATCTTAATTGCAAAAACTCTCCAAGGAAGAAGGAAGAAACGTCGAGCAAACGTACTGTAGCACAAGTACAGCACCATGAGACAAGTAAAGTAAAGCATTATGGATAATATGATTGACCATGTGACCTTGGTATTCCTGTGCTATCCAACCAGGAAATTATGGGTAAATTTTAGTTGACAAGTTCCTTTGTAGGTATGCACGTGATTGGCTGCTTATTATATGGTATATTTGACAGGGCTACCTTTGCCCTGGTAACTGCAAAAATGTGTGATTGGATGGGACATTTAGTACTCTGAGCATGCGCTTATGTTTCATTCAGTTACATAAAGCACACGTCCTCCCACATGGTTCTTAACAAGCAAATTTATTAGTATATAAGTCAAGCAAAAAGTAGTACTATACGATGATATGCTGCAGACTCGGAGGTAGACTTATATGACGTACGCTAATGTAATAACGTTATGACGTCATGTGTGACGCAATGACACAGGGATCCCAGTTGGAGTTGTCTGATTTCCGGTTAGAAAAAATATCACATGACAGGAAGGTTGCGGATTGAACTTCCGGTGTCCCAAACGCGACATGACACABASATWGACAAAAAGGTAAAACTAAAGTCGGCCTAGCCTATGGCTAGCCCGACTAAYAATTAACTATTGGGTTGGCTGTGGTATTACATGACCGGAAGCTCAAACGTATTGATGTACGAATATCGTTAGTAAATGTTATTAGCCTGTGTACATCCGTTTCTCACCCCTCAAAAAATCGGGGAGAGAACCGTTCTCTCCCCGATTTTTTGAGGGGTGAGAAACGGATGTACACAGACTAAAATGTTATATACTACTCGCGGTTTTATATGACAAAAAAACTATTCGTTTACAAATGTGGTATCTGTGATCTCATCGGAATGCATCAGTCAAGGTATCATAAGTACGCACATGTGCAGATCGCTTGGTGCTTCGAGTAGTATGCTTTCGAAACTAAATAAATGGCCTTTTTAGCGTTAGGCAGTGTTGTGTGGGCAAAGATTTCAAATTAGAACAAGAAGAAACATTTTTTATCAATAAAAAAAGGCGAGTTTAATGATTTTATAGGTGTCATTTACTTTGTAAAGTATTTTCTTGGCCTGAGAGGTCAACGTTATCACTTAGCGTCACTTCAGATCTCTACATAGCACGTTTGATTTTATCAGTGAAAGCAAGGACTCTTTTAAAACGTTCATTGCTATATTAATTACATGACCTTTTAGGTCAAGTTTATTTTAGTCTCAAGAGAGTTGGGATATTTTGAACTAGAAGCTCTTATTAGACCGTGAGTTCGGCTATTTTGGAAAAAATTAAGAAATATATATTATAATCTAATTTTTATATTTTATGTAATATCCTCCTGTTTTTCTCAAGTTTCATTTGCATTCATAATATAATCATATGATTAAACAGAATATAACATCATAATCTTTTCACTCGTGTCTATCAATTTTTCAAAAATAGCTAGTCCGACTTCACGCCCCAGGGGCGTCTAGTTCTTTTTAAACTCGATTTGCCACAAAGCCTACATTAACACAAGTTCCGACCACGTCCCGACATCTTTCCACTGTAACTATACACCCTTTTAATAAGTCCCAAGGTATTGTGTTCTCCGCACTTGACGTCAAATTTATTCTTTTGAATTCCTTTTGTATTGTCAAGATTTCAAAAGAATAAATTTGACGTCAAGTGCGGAGAAATCAATACCTGGGGACTTATTAAAAGGGTGTATACCAACTCTATTTCTTTCCTTGTGGGTGGGACATCTGTTAACAAATTCCTCCTTCCTTAGGGACGGTCCATTTAACTTTTGAGGGGGGGGGGGGGGGGGGGGGGGTGGATGATTTCTTGTGAGCAATATTTTTTTGTTTCTTCGTGGCTTTTGGGTAGGATATATTTTTTTCTCTTGGCGGTGTGTAGAAATTTTTTTTCTTGTATGTAACATTTTTTGGGGGCTTAGGGTGGTGCAAGATTTTTTTTTCAGGTCCATATGTTGTGCACGATTTTTATTTTTGGTGAAGATGGCTTGCAGGATATTTTTTTTTCAAAATCATCCACTCCCCCCCCCCCTCAAAAGTTACATGGACCGTCCCTTATTTCGTAAAAAGGACGATTTACACCGCACGATTATCGCGCGCGACTTGACTTTATACAACTATTTTAGCTCAGAATCTTGTCGTGCAAAAATCGGCCTTAATTAATAACGTTGTGAAGCTTCCAAGTCTCTCGTGTAATACCTTTTGTGTTTTATGAATTCCTCTGGTTCAGGATGGTTTAGTGATATCAACTATAAAAACTAATAGTTATTACTTCTTTCATCATGCTTCACCGCACAAGTGCCTTGTAACTCTATTTCTGTCCAAAATAAAAGGATGAATGACGATTCACGCTCACTTTAAGAAATCCTACGAATCCGCCATTTTTACGTGTTCACCAAAATGACGTTTCGGCCCGCAAGGTACAGCGGGTGGTTGTGATTCTTTAAACAAAGGCGTTATTAGTGCAGTTTGATGTACTCGTCTGAAGTGAGCATCATTCCAGATTCGTGGCATGATTTATATTTCTCATCTCTGATCCAGAATTTTCATCAAGTCTTAAAGAAAGTGATCCCATATAGTGAACCTCTAATCCTAGTCCCGCAGTGATCCCAATCCCAGAGGCTTTGATCCCGATCCAGACGCAAAAACCTTGATATCCCTGATCAGATATCAAATTAATCACGATCCTGGTAATAAATATAATATAGAATATACTGATAAAAAAAGTATTTTGGTCTTGGTGGTGACATTACGAACTTATTGTGCAAATATTAGATATAGCTATTTCAGAGAAAAGGTAAGGGGCGGGCAGAAGAATGCACGACGGAGAGCTATTGTGGGTCTTAGTTGATGATGCCAATGTTCACTCAACAAAGGCTCAAAAGGCAGTCAATATTGTTCTTTCCATAAAATCCTATTTTTAGGCAGATGAGTGAATTTTATCCTTCAAAAATTTAACACTAACAGTAGTTTTGGTCGCTCAACCACCGTTCCTCCTGTTCCTCTCTGAACGCGTTTTCTTGAAATAGCTATATTGCCTTTTAAACTTTTTTCATCTCGACGTCTTCGTTTTGGTAGCCTTTGTTAAAACTATGGACATTATAAGTGTCTGCATTCACTAGTGTAATTGTGCGGCTCGGCTTCCTCACGCTGAAATAAAAAATAGCTTTAGTGATGGTTACTATTACAAGTGGAAACCAGTGAACAAGTGAAGTCGAATGTGGAAGAAACTGAGTGCGAATGTTTACGCTCATGGGAAAGTTGAAAAGCCCGCATATTCCGAATTCAGGCTGATAATGTTCGTATTCCTGACTTTCCATACCAAAAAGTTCTTTAGTGACCACAACCAAAGCAGTGTGTTCTCTCTACATCCTACTTGTTTTGTTCAAAGTATATCCCGGTTTATCCGTTTTATATTTCTCATGCACATATCAGTGGGGTTTTTTTCCTTGGATAGGGGGGATTGACCCTTGGTTCACAGTCAAGATACAAACCCATCTATTGACGTAACCATATGGCAAACGAGCAGAAGACTGGGAATGAGCAGCTTAAACGGTCCGTGTTTTTAAAACTCTGTTTTCACGATATAAAAGAGTATATTTAAACTAGTTAATTGGCGGATATTTAGTTTCAAATGGTGAAATGTCGGCAGGTGACTTGAAACGTACCAAAAACGTGAAAACGAGGCTGGTAAGGCCGCAATATTTTCAGTCAAACCTTTATAATTTCAAACGCCTGTAATGTTTGGTCCTTAAATGTTAGAGCATTGATACTTTCAGATCTTAGTCATTATAATATTTTCTTTCAAATGGTAGTAATTATACATTAAACAACTTATAAACTCAGACGTAATGATAGACACACCCTTTTTCACATCCAATATTCCTGGATCCTATCCACTTCACGAGCATAGTGTGTTTCTTGGTAATAGAAGATGCTAATTTTTTATAATTCAAATTTACCATACTTACCAGTGATATAACGACACAGCGATGACAATGAAGGCAAAAAATGTGCAGCAAGTACCGATAATAATCCATTTCCAATTCTCATCAAAAGGTGGAGTTGTTGGTGCCACAGTTGATTTTGCTGGTTTATTTATAAGCTTTTCTAGCTTACTTATTTCGTGTCCTATTGCCTGTGAAATGTTTGCTTTGCCGTTCTTCAAAATCTCTATCAATGTTATGGCGCTTAAAACAGAAGAACTGCCACCAGATGGATTAAGTACGTAGAAAGCAATCAACAAATCGCTTCCATTTTGCTGAGGATATCCAGGGATGAGATGAATATTGCTGACATTGTATATAGGATCGTTTATGTTAGCACGCCTGCAGTAGAAATACAGTACAAAGCAGAAATTATAAAAGGCTGCGAAGGCAGTCAAAATCAGACCATGGCTACGTGAAAAGGACTTAGGAGTAACTTTCATTATTACACATTTTCAAAGTATTGCGAAGGGTGTATTGAAAATTGACACTAATAATGATGCAAAACAAAAAACAAGTATGAAGATAAGCGTAAATCACGCTTGACATATTTTAACCATTGATTGTGACCTTTTGCGTCGGGAGTCATCTACGCCACACTCCTTGTTGTTTCTGTTGCAGTATTCAGAAACCAATGATGCAGCTTCTTTCTCGAAATAGTGTTGAACTTGTGGAGTCCACTGAAATATTAACAGATAAGCATAAAACGTTATGAAATTCAACTCATTTGACAGACATCGATGCAATGAAAACAACATGCTGTAAAGGGAAAACATATTCAATAATTCAATTTTTATCGATCTTATCAAATGCAGAAGTCATTCAATCGTTTTGGATAAAATGAACTCAACCCAAGAAGCAATAAATAAATTAAAATAACATGAGTAAATGTTTAAATAAATCAATAAATGTGTAGTGATGAACGGAACGATGAATAAACGAATGAATAAGAATTCGTTGAAAAAATAAATAAATAGCGCATTGTCATATCATGGATACCATACTTTTTCCTTTTGCATGTTCTTTACTTTGATGATAGCAGATTGCTCTCTCTCGTTTGTATTAGGTCTTCGTTGTGTTGGTGATGACTGCGCCGTAGTAGGTTTTGCAGATAATTGTTGAGTAATCACTTCTACAACAAAAGAGAGTTTGCCGTCACTGTGCTAAAATGTCGATAACGTGCTCACTTCTTGCACTGATGAGAGAAGACGTTACCTACAAGAAGCCGAACTCCAACCAAAGTAAAGAAATTCCATGTAAAGAACAAAAAAAACATTTACAATAATAAACAGTTACAGGAAGTGAAAACGAGCCTCAGGATAGACACAGTATATAAMAGTAAATTTTCCACTAAACATAGAAAGCCATTAAGACAAGTCACGGTCCCAAAGCTCAAATGATTCTACAACACTTTTTATGACAAAGAATGAAGCAGTCATAGAAACAGAAACATTTGTTTTCCGTCTCATCCTTACTAAATAAAGCAACTATTACAAAAATATTTTTGGAAGGTTAACAATATAGTGAGCGTTTTTGGCTTTTCTGAAAAAAATATATGTATATGCGCCTAAACCTTGCATAATGATTTTAAAGTTATTCCAATTATCATATAATTTCCAATGGATAAGACGTAGAAATAGCAATCAAATAAAACCAAACCTGCATTATTCTGCGTGCCTGATTCTAAAAGTTGCATTATTTTCAATACCTTGTGTTGTTGTCAAAGACAGTGTTGTTGTTGTGTAGGGCTTCGCTCTTGTGGAAGATCCTGTTGTTGTGGAAGATCCTGTTGTTGTTGAAGGCTCTGTTGTTGTGGAAGCCTCTGTTGTTTTAGAAGGCTCAGTTGTTGTGGAAGCCTCTGTTGTTGCAGAAGGCTCGGTTGTTGCGGAAGGCTCTGTTGTTGTAGAAGCCTCTGTTGTCGTTGAAGCCTCTGTTGTCGTTGAAAGCTCTGTTGTCGTTGAAGGCTCTGTTGTTGTGGAAGGCTCTGTTGTTGTGGAAGCCTCTGTTGTTGTGGAAGACTCTGTCTCTGTGGAAGACTCGGTTGTTGTGGAAGCCTCTGTTGTCGTTGAAGGCTCTGTTGTCGTTGAAGGCTCTGTTGTTGTGGAAGGCTCTGTTGCTGTTGATGGCTCTGTTGTTATGGGAGCCTTTGTTGTTATGGAAGACTCTGTTGTTGTGAAAGCCTCTGTTT